TCGTAACAGATCGATGCCTATTTCAGTAAATTTACCTTCGGTGCAATCTTCATCAAACGTTGTACCAAAAAACTAAATTACTGCTAATGTTGTGTTAGTGATTTCTCAATTCTATTCTTATACTCTCTTTTTGGCTCCTCCCTTACTCTTTTCTTTTTATTATTTCTTATTCTTTTTATTAACTTTTCTTGCAACTTCTTTTATTACCGTCCTTTTTCTTTTTCTATACTTTATCTCTTCTTATTTTATTCTTTTTTTTTCTTTTTTTATTATTGGTTTTTTTAACTCCTTTTATTTATTTATTTGTTTTTTATATTATTATTATTATTTCTTTATTTTTTATTATTATTTTAAGAATTATTTTAATTATGTTAGATATAGTTAATAACCTACATTTTAATATTTTATTTTTTTAAGTTTTCTTACTAACACTTTTTTTCATAGCTTCAATAGTATCACTGACCATATTTGGCTGTGAGACGTGGGCATAGCCGGCCGGACTGGCAAATAAAATACCCCCATCGGGTTGGTGTTACTATTGAAATTATATCGTGTACTTTGTATAGGCTTTTTTAAATTAAAATTGACTCTCGTTTTTGTCAATAGCTTTAAGAAATAAATAAATAAATAAATAAATATAAGAAGCAATTAAGTATAAAAATAAGTATTTATTTGTAGGTAAATTTTCGTTGGTGTTGGTGGCGGAGGAAGGATGGACCACGAGTCGGAAGGTCATCGGTGTGGGGATATTTCGACAAAGTTAACAATGGTATGTCAGCAAAGTGTCGCTCTTGCGGCAAAATATATAAAACAAGCGGAAATACCTCGAATTTATTTGACCACCTGAAACGTACGCATCCCGGTCAGCGTGTTAAGGATTTACCTAGCACTTCTGGTTCAATAGCTTCATATGTTAGCGCAACACATGAATCTACATCAAAGCGCAAACAAGACCTCGATGTAGAGCTAATTAAATTTGTAGTTCAAGGCATGCAACCATTTTCGATAGTCGAGGATTCGGGGTTTCGTGACTTTATAAAAATGCTTGACCCACGCTACAAGTTGCCATCGCGGATTACACTTTCTAATGTGATGATGACAAATTTATTTAATAATCAGAAACCTAAATTAAACAAGTAAGAAGGCTCCAGTCGAGACTGCTCGACTAGGAGATACCCTGAACCCTCTAAGCTGATATTCTAATCATTCTGCACTTCTTTTATGCACATGCATCCACACGCACGCATAAGCCCGTGCTCTGCTAACTGTGCAGTAAGCAGCGACTGCGCTTGGGCTGCGCTGCAGTGTGGGCAATATTATGAGAATTTCTTTGTTGAATAATTTCTTTTGTAGACATACGATCTTCATAAAACTTTTAGAACGTAATCATATGGTGAATATGTGTGTACATTCCAAAGCACAAGTCTCTAGTACTTGAAATGCGTTTTTTACAAATTGGGGGGAAAGGGGGCGTGGTATCCAAAATCTGTAAATGACAAAATCTTTGTATCGATTAACTTTATATACAACGCAAATTTGAAGACTCCAGGTCTAAAAGTGTTCAAATTAGGCTAAAAAAACAAAATAAATTTTTCGATTATTCTAGATAAAAAAGTTATCGGACGATTTATCGAAAAAATAAAGCAAACTCGTACTGCGTATGGTACACACGAGTATGCATGCCAAATTTCAGCTCTCTAGCTCTTATAACTTCTGAGATCGACGCACTCATACGGACGGACGGACGGACGGACGGACGGACGGACGGACGGACGGACAGACGGACAGGGCTATATCGACTCAGCTCATCGCGCTGATCAAGAATATATATACTTTGTGGGGTCTGCCACGCCTCCTTCTGCCCGTTACATACTTTTGCACAAAACCATTATACCTTGATTTCCCATTTTCAATGGGTTCAGGGTATAAAAATTTGCTGAGTAAGATTAATTACTGTGCCATCACGACGGATATGTGGACGTCCCTGGCCAATGAATCTTATATGACAGTCACATGCTCGTTTGTAACAGATAGCTACTGTCTTCGCTCTGCAGTTTTGTCGACAAATAGACTCATTGATGAAACAAATCATACTGCTAACAATATTGCAGATTCCCTGCGGGTTGTTTGCAATGAATGGGGAATTTTGAATAAAATAACGGCAATTGTGACAGATAATGCAAGCTCGATGATCAAAGCGTGTGAGTTGCTTCAAAAAAGGCATTTACCTTGCCATGCACACTCGCTTAATTTGGTGGTGCAAGATTGCCTTAAGCTAGATTGCATAAAAGATATACTTAAACAAGTAAGAAGGCTCCAGTCGAGACTGCTCGACTAGGAGATACCCTGAACCCTCCAAGCTGATATTCTAATCATTCTGGACTTCTTTTATGCACACATACATACACATGCACTTTTAAGCACGCGCTTTGCTAACTGCGCAGTAGGCAGCGGCTGCGCTTGGGCTGCGCTGCAATGTGGGCAATATTATGGGAATTTATTTGTTGAATAATTTCTTATGTAGACGTACAATCTTAATGAAACTTTCAGAATGTAATCATAATGTTCAAATGTATGTACATTCTAAAGCACAAGTCTCTAGTACTTGAAATGTACTTTTTCCAAATTGGGGGCGAAGGGGGCGTGGTATCCAAAATCTGTAAATGACAAAATCTATGTATCCATTAACTTTATATACAACGCAAATTTGAAGTCTCCAGGTCTAAAAGTGTTCAAACTAGGCTGAAAAAACCAAGTCGATTTTTCGATTATTCTCGATAAAAAAGTTATCGGATGAGTTATCGAAAAAATAAAGCAAACTTGTACTGCCTATGGTATACACGAGTATGCATGCCAAATTTCAGCTCTCTAGCTCTTATATCTTCTGAGATCCTTTTGCTCATACGGACGGACGGACGGACGGACGGACAGACGGACAGGGCTATATCGACTCAGCTCGTCGTCCTGATCAAGAATATATATACTTTATGGGGTCTGCGATGATTCCTTCTGCCTGTTACATACTTTTTACAAAACCATTATACCCTGATTTCCCATTTTCAATGGGTTCAGGGTATAAAAATGCAAGTCAATTGTCGCGTTTTTTAAAAGTAGCACGATTGCTTATAAGAAATTTAAAGATTCTCAGCTCACGGAAACTAAATATAGTCTAAAACAGGAAGTTGCCACAAGATGGAATAGTGCATTCTTAATGATTGATAGAATCATAAAAACACATGAGGCCATCAATAAAACGCTTCTAAGCTTGAGGAAATCAACATATTAAAAGACTTATCACAAATTCTTTCCCCCTTTGAAAGTGCTTCCAAAGTAGTGTCATCAAATTCTAAAGTAACGGTTTCACTGATTATTCCAATTTCGTGTGGGCTCTTAAACAGCTTGGAAAACCACACAAAAAATTTTATGACCGAAGCTGGACTTCAAGTTAATGCATTTTTAATTGAAAGCGTAACAAAAAGGCTTTTTAAATATGAAGAACTCTCTGTAACGAGCATTGCAACATTGCTTGATCCCAGGTTTAAGAAACAGGGTTTCCGTTCTCAAAACAATGCTACAAATGCTGAACAACTTTTAATAGAAGAAATTGTTCATCTGAGCAAGTCTCCAGTTCCCACCTCAGAGCCACCAACACCAATTGAGCAACCAAAGCCAACACTTCATTCTCTTTATGATTTTGTGAACATCAACATACAAAATTTGCCAAAGACCAAGCGCTCCGAATGCCATTCTGCTCTGCTCCATAGCTTAGAACATCGGAGCAAAGAGCAATAGCAAAAGCAAAAAACTTGCGTTCCGTTATTTGTAGTTGTAGCAATAGCACAAGCATTGAAAGCGAGATAAGAGCAGAGCAAATGGAAAACATTTTTTTTTGTTTCTGCTACGGAGCATTTGCATTGTTTTTCTCTTTTCCTTTTCTGTTGCTTTCGTAGCTGTTCTCGTAGCTGCTCTCATATTTGCATTTCGCACTTGAAAAAGGCCAGATCTGGCTAAGTTGGCAGCCCTGCTTCCATAGCAGCTCTGTTTGCTCTCTTTTGCTCTATTTTGTCGCGAGCCACATATTCCCGTTATAATTGTTTGCATGAATTTCGCTAAGTTTTTTTTTACAAGCGCATAATATTAATTGAGCTCTTGTGTAAATATGCCTCCTCGAAAAAACTCGTTTAATATTTTAAAATATTTTGAAGACGATGGGTCGTCATATTTGCAGTGCAAATCTTGTGATCGGGTTTTAAAGAAAGATCGTACATTTAATTTGAAAAAACATATTACTGGTGTGCACAAAATAAAAATAGATTATCAAGATAATGACTGGTACATAGGACTGGTGACAGAACAAAGTGTATCTTTCAATGTTTTAAATTCGGAAAACATGAAAAACATAATAGATCCTATTTGTGACGGTCTTACATTAAATAGCGGAAAAAGCTTTAAACTAAATGGCAGTAAATGCAAAAACATGCTAAAACATGTGGCTGAAAACATTACTGTCTTTAAAAATAGACAGCGCAACTCGGCTTAACCGTAATATTTTTGGAATTGGCGCGCAATTTATTAATGAAAATGAAATTATATCCCGGATATTAGGCTTGTCTGAAATTAAAGGCGCTAGATGTACTTCCATCAAAAAATCTGGCCAAAGAAATTATAGCCACTTTGGACATGTACAATATCCGATTGAATCAAATAGTTTCAATTACATCAGACAATGGAGCTAATATGATTAAAACAACAAAAATTTTATCACATAGTTATATATCTGATGATGATTTTGAAGGCACGGAGGAAGTGGAAAAAACATAGACTACACTGAGAAAATTGATAATTTTGAGACCCCAGAAGAATTGCATGTAGGTAATATACAAATATGCCGGTGTGCAGCACATACTGCACAACTTTGTGCACTTGACGTTTTAAAAAATGCAGAAATTAAAAGCTATTTACTTCAATGTCGCAATATGACGAAATATATTCGTAAGCCATCAAATGGTTATCGTGAGGTATTTGATTTTCGTAAACTAAAACTGCCTCAATTGGATTGCCCCACAAGATGGGGATCAACATATGAAATGATCGATCGACTGAACAAAGCAAAGGACGTTTTGTGCGACATTGAAGCAATCGAAAATAAAACGGATGATGAAAATTTCGACGCTTGCTCTATGTTGTGGGAGTTTATAGATTGTACACTTCTTGAAGACTTTATGGGATAAAATTAAAACAAATAACCCAAAAGTTAATTCCTCAATAACTTCAATTAGTTCTATGATTCTTGAAGAAGGGCTGGAAAATCATGAGTTTGACTTGTTAGACACCTATTTGGGAGCTACAATATCGCCTACAGATGACTGCACGGATGTTTATACAAAAATCGAAACACTGAAGCTTCCTTATATGAAAGCAAATGTTAATGTATTGAACTTCTGGAGAGAAAGAAAGTCCACTCATCCTGAACTGTATGCACTGAGCAAAGTATGCTTCGCCATTCCGCCAACACAAGTAAGAATGATTGTTTTTGCTGCAAGGCATATGTTCACATATTTTTATTTTATTTATGTAGGTCACAATAGAACGCGCATTTTCATCATTAAAACTTGTACTGGCCGACAATAGGAATAGGTTAAACCACGACACTTTGGAAAATATTTTACTTGTGAAACTAAACTCATACCATTTAGACGGTGCCATCGACAGCTTCCCTTCATTTGAAGACGAAGAAAACAATCAGAATTAGAAATACAAATTACTGTTTGAAATTTAATTTTTTTTTAATATGCTTTAATCGTATATATTTTATAGCACAATGTGAAAATAAATGAATTCTTATAATTTGAAATTAACGTCTTAAAGGGCAATATTTCGAACTGAGCTGCTATGGAAGCAGGGCTGCCAACCTATGCTGACGATACCGCTTTCTTGGCCACATCGGAGTCACCTGTTACTGCATCTAGGATCTTGCAACATTAACTGGACTTTCTGTGCCCTTGGCTGAACAAATTGTGTATAACAATCAACACCAGCAAATCAGCACACACAACATTCACTATGAGAAGAGGTGCATGCCCACAAGTCTCGCTAGGTAGAGAACTCATACCTATTAGTAAATGCGTGAAATATTTGGGTCTTACGCTGGATAGAAAGCTTACATGGCGCCAGCATATCAAAAATAAACGCCAGCAGCTGAACCACAGACTTGGACGGTTGTACTGGCTTATAGGCAATAAGTCCAAGCTCTCCCTTAAAAACAAAATTCTAACATACAAGGTTATGCTGAAACCAATATGGACATATTGTCTACAAATGTGGGAAACGGCCAGCAATTCCAACGTGCGAATAATACAAAGATTCCAGAACAGAGCACTAAGAATAATCACCAAGGCTCCATTCTACATGAGGAACAGGTACCTGCATCGCCTCCTCAACATCCAGACAATCCATCAAGCCATTCGTGAAACCTCAGGAAAATACACAAGAAGGCTGGATGACCACGCCAATCCACTCGCCATTAACCTCCTCGACAACAGTCAACACTTGCGTCGCTTGAGGAGACTACATCCACTTGATCTACCTTTTAGAACAGATCATGCTATTTAACTAATTCAACCCTCCCTACACCTCCACCACATAACTAATTAAGTAGCGCCATGAATGTGTACTATCCCATTTATTGAATGTTCAACAAAGAACAGATTGTAAATAAAGATACATACAAAAAAGAAATATATATATATATTTTTTATGCGCATCAACACTCTCATCCTCTCCCCAAAAATAATCATCCAAACGCTTACAGTTTGTTTGCATGAGCGTGGCAAACGCTTTTAAGATCTCGGTATACTCTTCGCTGAAAAGGAAAAAGCTGGGATCGTCGCGAACAAAAATTTCAATTTTTGTGCGCCGCTGAGAGTGATGATTTTAGCGACCATAGAGAACGAGAGAGAGGGACTGAGAGAGAGAGTAGGACAAATGGCACATAGATGTGCTTCAAACATAATCACGACCATTTCGACTGAGCGCTCACAGTAGGGCTGTAAATCCATCGATGGAGTCTATCGATAGTATCGATGGATTTGAACTCTCAAGATATATCGATGGATTTTTTCATCCATCGATAATTTACTACTTGGAAGCGCGAAGAGACACATGTAAGTATTTTCAAATATTTTATTTTGTGATTAGCTTTTTTAACAATATTTTAATGAAATAATTTCGCAACGACGAGCTACTCTTAAGGCCAAAAATGTAAATATTATGTTGTTTATCAACAAAAACCAATGGTTGCTGGAGAACTAGATTTATTTTTTATAAAATTAGTATAGAGTTAAAACAACCTTGTGAAATTTTTTTTTTTTTTTTTTTTTTTTAATGAAATAATTTAATTTTTATAGTTTTATAATTTTATATCAGAGGCATCTCAAAATGAAATCATGTACCTTTTTATATATATATATATATATATATATTTTTTTTTTTTTAATTTTTAAGACGAAACTGCTTTAAATATAACAAGAATAAAAACAGCTTGGAGCATATAAAAAAGAATTTAATTATTTGCATTGATTGACATATTTAACCATATGTAATAAAATATATATTTTATTAGATATACAACCATCACATAAAGATCCGATTACTTTTGTATTGTATTTTTATACAAAATTGCACGAATCATTTACATACAATGTGCTGGATGTATGATTGAAATTATTGAGAATTTCTGTATTTCTAAGAATTTCAAATTTTCGATGGAACTATCGATAGTATCGATGGTTCATTCCATCGATGGAGAAATCTATCGAGGGGAGCATCTATCGATGGTTTTGCAGCCCTAGCTCACAGCGCACTGTTTTTGTCGAGCAATATTTTCACTGCTCGAACCTCCAGCGACCGAGCCAAGCAAATACGAAGTATACTGGTCGACCAACTTAACTTTTTCTGCTGTAGAAAAATTTGTTCTACATGTCTAGTCTATGTGTTCTCTGGTCAGTGCTAGTGCTGCAAATCCATCGATGGAAATATCGATAGTATCGATGGACTTTCTTTTGTTAGATAGGTCGATGGAATTTTCTCGATGTCGATAGATCGCTACAGACGCCAAGCCACAAGTAAGTTCATACGTTGATACTCAAATTATTATTAAAATTAGAATCTATTTTACACAAACAATTTGATTTATTTTTTAACATATAGCACATAGATACCTATTTACCACATTATTTAATTGTTGGCGGTTCCTCCACGGAAAATATAACATTTTTTGATCCCATCTGGTAAGATTCATACAATTAATAGCAAACACGTTTTTTCTAATTGTTTTGGATTTTAGATAAAAGTGCTTCTTCGCCTGCAGACGCCAATAAGGAATCTTCATTTGCTGTTACGGTACACACTGAAAATATTGCGCCTCCGAATAAGCGAAAGAAATTTGAGAAATCTTATGTGTGGAAGTTTTTTGAAAAATGCCAAGAAAAAAACTTTGTGAAATGCCTGTTGTGTGGGCAGCAATATAAAACGAGCGGGAACACATCAAATATGCAAGAGCATTTAAAGCGTGCACATAATGGATCTCACGATAATTAATTTCAGCTTTAAGCTCAAGACTTTTGTGAAAGATAGTCAAGTTTTGTTTTTTAATTTTAAGTTAAATTTTAAAACTTGTTAATTACAGTCGAAATTTTTGGTTTTTAGTTATAAGATAAATATGAACCAATGTTTATTTTTAGGATAGACTGTTTTGTGATGAACTGGAATACAAATATTATTTTTATGAATTAAGACTAAAAATCATGAATTGTTTTGAACTATATACTAAGTATAAATGTTTATAAAGTTAATTTTTTTTTCTATGAATTTTCAATAATTTTTGAATGATGGAGCTATTTTCGATGGAAATATCGATACTATCGATGCTTTAATCCATCGGACTCAAACAAAATCGATGGACGGTCCATCGATGGCTTTGCAGCACTAGTCAGTGCTAATATCTTGTGCCTACCACCGAATCTCATTCGACAACAGCGACATACGCCGTTACCGCTACAACGGGACTTTTCCAGCCTATAAAACATAACCGACCAGCAACGATACGTCCAGTCGCGAAACACACCAAATAGCAAAACCATACGCACTTAAATGCTATGCATGCCGCGCTCGTGTGAGACCAAAACAATCACAATACCCTGTCAGAGTACTCGCATTCTTTGTTCAAGGGAATCGAGGACACACACGCACAAGTACGAAGGCATGAAAAAGGGAAATAGGCAAGTAGGTAGAAAGCACAATTACAATGCGCGCCAATATATTAATACTACTTGCGCTTCGACATACATAGTCTGTCAAGAATGAGTTGGCACACTGCAAAAAAATGTAATTTTTTGACTTTGGATGCAAATATCTAAGTCATTAATGCATAAAAACAAATTTTTTCAAATAAGAATGTGTTTAATATTATTTCATTAATTCAAATATAAAAATAGAAAGCATAACATTCAATATGTAAAAAAAAAAAATCAACAAAAACAAAGAATACTCATAAATAACAGTGTCAATAATGTGTTGGCACTGAGCGCTTTGCACATCTGCTTTGCTCTGATTCTTAGAAGTAACGGTATTTTACTGTTATCTGTTGATATTTTATGCATCTATGAACGTTTTCTTTTACATTTCTTGCCATTTGATTGTCAATTTTCGCTAGTTACGCATTTAAGCACAAATTTCATATTTTTTTAAAATGCCACGAGATGGGCAAATCCGTTCCAGAATTGATGGACATGGGGCCGAAAAAGAAAATAGGCTGCTTTTAAAGACGGGAGGAGGGCCGAAAAAAAAGATCACTGGACGAGTAGAGCGTCTTATTCTCAGAAAAGTGAACGCTAATCCGCATATTTCTGTAAGATGTCTTGCTAAAGAGCTGAAGCAAGAATGTGGCATAGATGTCTCACATGAAACGGTACGCAAAGCCCTCATGAGCCATGAGTACAGTTCGAGAGTAGCGCGGAAAAAGCCTCTGTTATCAAAAGCAAATATCGAAAAGCGTTTAACTTTTGCTGTTAACATGGCTTGTTACCCCGCAGAATATTGGGATGACGTCATATTCTGTGATGAAACAAAAATGATGCAGTACTATAATGATGGTCCTCCCAGGGTATGGCGCAAGCCATTGACGGCTCTTGACAGCAAAAATATTATTCCCACTATTAAATTTGGCAAATTATCGGTGATGATATGGGGGTGTATATCAAGCAAGGGAGTCGGAGAGATTGCATTCATTGAAAGCACAATGAATGCAGAGCAGTACCTCCAAATTTTGAGAGCAAATTTGAGAGCAAGTGCGGCTAAATTCGGCTTTCTGAATGGCAACAAGCCAAATTTTAAATTTTATCAGGACAACGATCCGAAGCATAAAGAACTCACTGTTCGCACTTGGCTGCTGTACAACTGTGGCAAAGTGATTGACACACCCCCCCAGAGCCCTGACCTTAACCCGATTGAGCATATGTGGGCATACTTGAAGAAGAAAGTTGGAAAAAGGAATCTTAAGAGCCGCACACAACTCAAATCAGCTATAATTGAGAGGTGGGAGAAAATCCCTCTTGATTTAATTAAAAACCTTATAGCTTCTATGAAAAAACGCCTTCAACATGTTTTAAATGCCCAGGGAGGCCACACAAAATATTAAAATTGTGTTAATTAATCATAGTTTAGCTTTAATTTGAAGTTAAGATTCACACATTATTGACACTGATATTTATGAGTGATCTTTGTTTTTGTTGATTTGTTTTTTACATACTGAATGTTATGTTTTCTATTTTTATATTTAAATTAATGAAATAATATTAAACACATTCCTATTTGAAAAAAAATTGATATTTGCATCCAAAGTCAAAAGATTACATTTTTTTGCAGTGTGCCACCTCATGCTTGTATATTCTAGTTCAGCACGACGAGCTGAGTCCATATAGCCCTGTCCGTCCGTCCGTCTCAGAAGTTATAAGAGCTCGAGAGAGAAATATAGCGTGCATACTCGTGTGTACCATACGCAGTACTAGTTTATCTTATTTTTTCCATAGCTCGACCGATAACTTTCTTATCGAAAATAATCGAAAATTTGATTCTGTTTTTTCAGCCTAATTTGAACACTTTTAGACCTAAAGACTTCAGATTTACTTTGTATATACATTTGATGAATACAGAGATTATTTAATTTACAGAGTTTGGATACCACGCCTTTTTCACAACCAATTTGTAAAAAACGCATTTCAAGTACTAGAGACTTGTGCTTTGGAATGTACACACATTTTAACCATATGATTACGCTCTGAAAGTTAAGATTGTATGTCTCCAAAAGAAATTATTCAACAAATAAATTCTTATAATATTGCCCACATTGCAGTGCAGGCCAAGCGCAGCCGCTGCTTACTGCGCAGTTAGCAGAGCGCGTGCTTTTTAAAATATTTACTTTTTTTAATATTTTGTCCAAAGATCTTTGGCTTTAATTTAGTGATGTACAAAATCATCGATGCATCGAGCATCGATGTTCTATTACTGATTTTTACCGATTATGTATTTTAGAATAATATCAAAAACAAGCTTCTGCTGGAAGCATCATCGAAACATCTGGAAACACGACTAATTGCAGGATCATTTACGCAATATTCACAAATTAAACAAAGAAAACGAGGAATCACACAAAACGTAATCCCCAAGTTTCCATATCTTGTTTCGTTATTTTGTTATCTATTGCAAAAATGATCGAAAACCAGTAATAAATTTATATATCTTACATCTTTAAAGCTAGAGTCACCAAACTTTTAATGTAGATTTATATGTACTTTATGGAGTTTCGATTTTTGTCAAAATTTACCCCCTACCCCCACTCGCATTTGTAAAATGCATATTTCATATAATAGAGACTTTTGCAAATACATGCATATCTATATTATATTCATAATCGGAGTTTCATGAAGATACTCCATCCACAAGAAAATGTATTAAACAATTAGGTTTCCATAGTATGCCACCACTGCAGCCAATGCGTGTTTATGCGTGCGTTCGTATGGCTGTGTGTGTGCAAGTGCGAATAATTATTGAAATACTAGTTGCTCAAAGGCTCAGGGGATCTTGTAGTCGGGCAGTCTCGACTACAGCTTTCTTACTTGTTATTATTGCAAACAATTCCCTGAGGAATTTTCATAAATATATCTTCCTTCAGTGTACCATTAAGAAAAGCAGTTTTGACATCCATATGATGTACTTTGCAATGGACAATATTACGCGAAAACTAGAAATCCCAGTAACAGGGGCAAATGTTTCATCGTAATATATTTGATATTTTTGTGTGAAACCTCGTGCACCTAATCCTGCTTTATATCTTACAGGATTACCCATTTCGTCATGTTTCAAACTAAACACCCATCTGCTGTCTACAATATTCTTATTTTCAGGTCTTTTAACAATAGTCCATGGCTTGTTTAATTCATGTGCTAACAATTCTTCTTTGATAGCTTCTTCCCATAAAGTTATTTTTTTCTGCTTCGAATTTCGTCAAATGCGTAGGGAACTTCATTGAAAATAGTGTGAGCGTTCATGATATATTTATTTAAATTTTCTTCATCTTCGTTGTAGGATATTTGTGGCTTATTTTTGAGTCTATCGCTTCTTCGAATCTTTACGATATCACTTTTGTCATTTTCCTTATTCTCATTCGGAAAACTTTCTTTATCATCCTTACTCTCATTCAAGAAACTCTCTTTAACATCCTTACTCTCATTCAGGAAACTTTCTTTATCACCCCTACTCTCATTCGGGAAACTGTCTTTATCATCCTTACTCTCATCCAAGAAACTTTCTTTAACATCCTTACTGTCATTCGGGAAACTGTCTTTATCATCCTTACTCTCATTCAGGAAACTTTCTTAACTCTTCCGAGTTAACCATATTGGTCTCATCTACAACCACATCTCTAGCAACAAAGAACTTCTCACTTTCAATGTCCTATAATTTGTAGTCATTTGGTTCATATCCTAAAAAATACTCATAAAGGATTTATTGTCAAATTTTCGTTTCCGATTCTTGTTGTGTACATACACTGAACGAATACACTTTACTATGTTGGTGTTTAGTTTCGTATTGATCTTTATTCTTCTGAGCCTGGGTTTATATACCCAGACTCATGCATAATTTCAACCATTAAATCTAGTGCTTCTATTGCTGAGTGTGTAAGGCTCAGAATTGGTCTATTACATATTATTAACTTATCGCGTAGTTTGTAAGACTCCGCATTGGTTTATTAGCTATCGCTGAGTTTGTAATGCTCGGCGCTCGCCTCTTACGTATTATATTCGCTAAGGGTCAGGGTCATAATTTATGCCCAGTTTGACAGTTCACACTTGAAACATATGTTATTTATTTTATGCTAGCTGTCGAGTGCATAGCGCGTACGTTCCCCTACTTATCATATTTCTATGTTCTTGCATGTGCATGAACATTCTGCGGGGGGCCAAAGTGGGTAACGTCCAGAACTGCTATCTGTGGATTTCTAAACAATATTCAGGACAAATACAAATTTAATAATTGTTAGTATTCTTGACGAAATGATCATGCTTGTAATCCTTATGTTCGTGCCTGAACATTCTGCAGGGCCCAGAGAATGTGACATCCAGATAAACCGAGTATGCCACCATCACCTTAG